TATATATATATATGTATAAATATGTATTTAAAGGACACTGCCAAAATGATACCTGACACACTAGCCTTTAAACATCATTAATCCATCAAGGAAAATCCATTTTAAGAAAAGATCATGTTTCTACACCCTATTATTCATCACCGTAATCAGCAGTGTTTGTTTTCACATCTAATATTAAGAGCATAAGGAAAGATTTTCAGACTCGCCACTTAAATTGCATTCTAGGTTAGTTGAAATAGAAGACTCCAGTAATTGCCAAAGGGGTACCGTGTAGTACCCCCAACAGAAGGCTTCACATATCCTAGAGCATTAATCAGCAGAAAAATTGTCAGACATATTGGAATCTGTTTTTGTTTTTTTCCCCCATAAAGATTGAGGATAGGAGTCAAGGATATTAGAATTAGAAGCTCCTTATACCAACCATTTCAAATTTTCAAATATCATTTCCTCATGCCTGTATTATATCATTTATATTTTGTATTACATCATATTTAAATGCAATCTTTTCTACAAAATAGGGTTGTTATGAAGGTTAAATAAGATAATATATTTAAAAGCATTTAACACATAAGAAAGTACTCAATAAATGTTAATTTATTAAAATTATCCTGAATAATAATGTTGATAACAATAGATTTCTCAATAAAGATTGATTCAGAATTGGTGTTCTTTAGCTAAACTCCGACTTTAGGACAAAGATGTAGAAGGTCCAAGGACAATTACAGTTTTGGAATTTATCTTAAAGAAACAACAAAGAAATATGCAAATATTTAGCTACAAGGATGTACAATGCATGATAGTTTATAATGGTGAAAGACTTAAAAAAGCCTAAATCTCCAACAATAAGGGATTATTTAATATATATTTAGACAACATTAAATATAATAGTGTAGATTAAATAACTGGAAACATTTATTATATTTTAAGTAAAAGGCAGCATGTAAAAATACCTGAAGCAAAAATCTGGCTGGTGAACACAGATAGCTACATAGTTCTCTGAGATTAATGTTCTGTGTATTTTGTAAAACTTTTAAAAACAAAAGTATAGGTTCTAAAATAGTATACATAGTATAATTCTTTAGTACCCTATAGTTCTAACAATCTAAGACTCATTATACATTTTTATTATCCTTGCTTTTTCCTGTCTTCCCTGATAGATTGCAAGTTATTGTGGGGCTGGTACCTTGTCTATCTTATTCTTTCTAGCATCTTAGAATAGTACTCGGAACATAAAAACCTCTTAATAAATATCTGTAAAAACAAATACACATAAATAAGATTGGAAGGCTGTACAACCAAATGGTTATAGTACTTCTCTTTAAGTTGTCTCTGGGAGGTAGAATTGTGGATTTTTTTTTCTTTATTGTTGTGGTAGTTAAGTTTGTGTGCCAGCTAGGCTGGGCCTGGTTGAGTGGCTGGGCAGCGATGTAGTATTTCCTATGATGAGACTGGTAATCAACTCTGTGGTGGAATCTACTGTGAGCATCTGAGTAGCTGCCTTAGGGATGTGGTCTGCTTCCTGTATATAAGGAGAAGCCTTGGGGAACGGTCTCCAGCTTATGGCACACTTGAACCCTGCGTGTAGCCACATCGCTGTTCAGCAGCCTGCCATGCTTTGCCACCCTTGGGACTTTCAATGGACTTGAATTAATGGCCTGCCGTGTGGTTTGGTAACTTCAAGGACTGTGTCTTTTTACTTGTCAACCTTGGGCTTGTCAGTCTCAGCAGCCAGCAGGTATCTGAGTGAAGAAAAGCCTCTAGTGTCAGCAGGCTGGAAACAAGAGGCACAGCTGAAGCCCACAGTGGAGGGGCTTTCACCCAGGCGCTAGTGCCTGGCACTCTGAACTCAGACTCAATGTATCCAAACTGCAAGAGAATAAGCTCCTGTTTGTTCAAGCCATCCCATTTGTGGTATTTTCTTATCAGAGCAGCACTAAGTAACCAAAACAATTATGCTTTTCAACAAATTAGGTATTTACTATTAAAGACCCATATAGAATTTTTTGCTTTTTACCTATGTCATTCAGGTGAATTTGCAGCCGTTCTGACTCCTCCGTGCCTAGCACATTTGCAGCTTGAACCCAAACCACATAGTTCTTGCCACCTTGTAATGAGTCAATGGAGATGTTAATATAGCCTGCAGTGACATATTGGTGCTCTCCTTCTGTGTCTAAACTGAAAAAAAAAAAAAAAAAGATAATGATCACAAGTGATGCCTGGTTTTAATTATTATTCAACTTTTTTGATGCTACTTTTTTCAGCCTGCTTTCAGACATGCAAACTTTTTCTGAAAAAGCTATTGAAATATATCATTTTGAAAACACTTTGGAACAAATTCAAGACTGTTGTTGTTATGTGCCGTCAAGTAAGACCTGACTCATAGTGACCCCTCCTTGGGTTTCCGAGACGGTATCACTACAGAAGTAGATTGCCCCATCTTCCTTCCGAGGAGTGGCTGGTGGGTTTGAACCGCCAGCCTTCTGGTTGGCAGTCTAGTGCCTTAAGCACTATGCTACCAGAGCTCCTAATTCAAGACTAGCTAGATCCAAAAAATAATTTCATAGGCCCTAAGCACTTTTGCCTTCATGAGCCTTTATTTTACCAAAAATGATGTCCCTCCCTAAGAACGGGTCTTTCCTGATGGTGTATCCAAAGGAAGAAAAATGAAGTCTTGCCACCCTTGCTTCCATGGAGCATTCCAGTTGTCTTTATTCTGAGAATGATTTCTTCCTTCTTCCCGCAGTCGGCAGTATATTCAGTATTCTTCACCAATAGCACAATGGTGTAGTCCTTGTGTTAGCTGTTTATTACATTACTTACAGACTCCTAAGTTAACTGTATTGCACTGTGAAACCTACCTTGATATAGATATGCTAATTAAGAATAATTAATACTAATAACCTTGAAGTTTGAATAGTGGTGGAAAGCCAGGCACTTGACATTATATTTAGTGAATGGAAACACTGCACAGCTTTTCATGTCCTTCTTGATCAGGGTCATGTTCATCATGTTTGTACTGTTCCTATTATAGAATCTATGTTGCTGAGACAAGCAGTAACCTGATTTCTTTTTCTAATGCCATCAGCTGCACTCTGTTCCAGAGGACAAACTTGATAAGAAAGAGTGAGTTTTAAAATCACTAGTACTCAGATACCTAGGGTTCTATTTCACGTCCTGTCACTACTACGTGTCCATTCAGCATCTCCAGCATCTCCTGAATTTCTTCAGCCCCCTAACGTTCTAGCTAGGATTATTAATTGCCAGCCACTCAGATCTCTTGGAATCCAGAGACATTTCTGGAGGAAAAGAGCAATCAACCTTATAGTTATTAAGCAATAAATGTATCTGAGAATCGAAATACTATAGAAAGATACCTAACTGTATATACACATAGACATATTACCACTACCAGAACAGGGCAACAACCTTAAGGAATCTCTCTTAAGATTAATGGGTTAATGGTAATGGGAATTACATACCATGCCCACCAGCCACTCGTCAGAAGGAAGACTGGGCAATCTACTTCCGCAGTGATACCACCTCAGAAACCCAAGGAGGGGTTGCTATGAGTCAGATCCGACTTCACGGCAGTGAGTTTGGTTTGGTTTTTGCAGGTAGCAGCAGCTGCTTTAGTTCACCTCAGGTTTTAATTTTCAATAGTGGTGCAAACAGTTTATGTGCTTAGCTGTTAATCAAAAGGTTAGAAATTTGAATCCACCCAGAGATGCCTCAAAGGGAAGGCCTGGGGTTCTACTTCCAAAAAAATAGCCATTAAAAATCCTATGGAGCACAGTTCTACTCTGACACACATGAGGTTGTCAGGTGTCAGAAGCAGGTATCTGGCTTACTGACATAACTTTTTGTTCTATTATATATAAGGTTGCCATAATTTGGAGCTCACAAGAAAGCCATAACAAATCTCTGTCCTCATGCCAGCAGTGAGATCCCTGTGAACACCAAGAGACGACAAGGAGGCCAGGCAGCATAGCATGGTGACTGAAAGCATGTGGTGTCAGTTCTTGTCAAGTCTGAAAGTGATCTTTCAGAAGCAGATCACTAGGTATGTCTTCTGAGGAGCCTCTGGGTAGGTTGGAATCACTAACCTTTGGGCTAATAGTCAAGTGCTTAACTGTTTGGACTAAAAGCATAGGCCATGGGCTTAAGAGACAGACTTGGGTTAAGGTCCTGACTCTGCTACTTGATGGATTTGGAGTGAGTTAAATCTCTATATGTTTGGGTTTACTCATCTGTCAAATAGAAATAATAACAGCATTGTTGTAATCATAATAAAAGAAATAAGAAAACACGCAGCAGTTTGCTTCATAGATAAAAAAGTGTTCATTAAACATAAGCAATCATTATTATGAAGGAAGGAAGGAAGATAGAGTGATCTACTTCTGTAAATATATACTGCCTCGAAAACCCAAAGGGGGTTGCTATGAGTCAGAACCAACTCAAGAGCAGTGACTTTGGGCTTTTTTTTAAATTATTATTATTATTATGAACGAAAAGTTGTGACATATAACTTTAACACATTCTAAAGAAAAGAAATGAAACCTTTAAAACTGTTGTATTTCAACAAGTGGAATTTCCTTTATATTGCTTATATCTAAAGTCAAATTAGGCTACTAAATTCAGGTGTTTACATGGTTGTCTTATATTCTTTCTGAACTAAGATGGAGCATATAAACAGTTGAGAACTTATTATAAGGTATGCTCACCTCCTGCTGAACAAGAATTCAGACGTGAAAGTAAGAAAATGGCAACTATGTGTAAGTAGTAAGTAGGGCACCTTTGAATATTTTCCAGTTAGAGAAAAACCACATAGATGTTCTTAACTGGTTTGTGGCTAATTCTTTCAACATACATATTGAAACCACAAGTCAAAATGGAAATGTATTCTCAAACCTACATTAACCATAGTCATTAGGTGATTTAATTCTGCTTTTAAAATCTACCTTCTTATTAACACCTAGACCGCAAAGCACTATTTTAGACGAAGAAATAAATAATAATGACTGGCTGTACTTTTGAACAATTTTTACATATAGCTGTGTATTATGCAGTTTTTAAATTTATTTCTCTGTGTGTGTTCTAATATATAACAGACTATGTTTTGAAAGGAGTCCACATGGCTTCTATTTCTCTGAAGTTACCCCTGCATCTCGCTGGAGTTGTAGTTAACTGATATTCATTAAACACTGCTGATTGATGATAACGGTGAATAGTATTTCCCACGTTATCTGATCATTCATTCAACAATTATTTATTTAACACCCACTATGTCCCTGGTGCCAGGAGCTCTGGTAGTGTAGTGCCTAAGACATTTGACTGCTAACCAGAAGCTGGCGGTTCAAACCCACCAGTCACTCCTTGGAAGAAAGGTTGGGCAATCTACTTCCATAGTGATACTGCCTCGGAAACCCAAGGAGGGGTCGCTATGAGTCAGGTCCGACTCAACGGCACATAACAACAACAACAACAACATGTCCCTGGTAGCACAACAGTTTAATACTCAGGAACTAACTGAAGGCTGGCAGTTCAAACCCATCCAGTGGCTCCATGGAAGATCTGGCAATCTGCTTCAGCAAAGATTATAGCCTAAAAAACCCTCTGAGCATTTCTACTTTGTCATATGTGGTTGCTGTGAGACAGAATCAACTAGATGCCACTTTACAAAAATAATGTGTTCTAAGCAGTAAGGTTCTGGGTGGTGCAAACAGTTAACACATTTGGCTGTTAAGTGAAGGCTGGCACCTCAGAAGAAAGGTCTGGTGATCTCCTTCTGAAAAATCAGCCATTGAAAACCCTGTGGAGCACATTCTACTATGACACACATGGGGTTGCCATGAGTCAGAACTGACTTGATGGCAACTGGTTTAGTTTTGGTTTTTGGATGTTGCAGGTGCTGCTTTAAACACAGAAGCTACAATAAACAAACAGATAAAGTTCCAGCCCTTGTGGAGCATACATTCTGGTGGAAACAAAAAAATATACATTTGTGGTGTTTAATGCTTAGAAGAAAAATATAATAGTAAAGAGATTAGGAAGGGCTGAGGGTAAGGATGGAGGTTTTTATTTTAGGGAACTGGAGAAGACCTATCTGAGGATGTAAAATCAGAACAGTAAAGTAACAAGTCCTGTGGCTCTCTCAAGGAAGTGCAATGTAGACAATGAGAAAAGTAAGTACAAAGGCCCTGAGGCAGATTTTCAAAGAAAAGAACAAAAAGGAAGTCTCTGAGGCTTTACCAGGGCGTTGCTGTTGTTAGGTGCCATAGAATCAATTCCCACTCATAGTGACCCCACCTACAATAGAGTGAAACACTGCATGGTCTTGTGCCAGCCTCACAATTGTTGCCATATTTTAGCTCATCATCATCGCAGCCTCTGTGTCAATCTATCTCAGTGAGGATTTTCCCCTTTTTTGTTGACCCTCTACTTTACCCAGTACTTTAGTAGGGTGTTGTTGTTGTTGTTATGTGCTGTCGATCCAACTCATGGCGACCCCTCCTTGGGTTTTCTTTCAGAGGCAGTATCACTAGGGAAGTAGATTGCCTGATCTTCCTTCCAAGGAGTGGCTCGTGGGTTTGAATCGCCAGCCTTCTGGTTAACAGTCAAGTGCCTTAGGCACTACGCTACCAGAGCTCCCTTAGTAGGGTGAGGGAGGTAGAAAAGATTAGAGATGAGATCAGATATACTGGAGGGAGGGGAAGATTTAGAAGGCCTTGTAAGATAGCCTAGGGTCATTGAAAGACTCCAGATTTTATCTCTGAGCAGAAAGGGAAGTTTTGAGCAAGGGAGTGCATGTGAAAAGGATTACTTTGGCTACTTGTGAATAAAGGACTGTAGGGGAGCAAAGATGGAGGCTAGAAGTCTAGTTAGAATATTCTTAAAATAATCCAGATATTTACTTTAACTAGGTTATTTCAACTAGGATGGCAGTGTAGATCGTGAGGTCAGATATTTAAAAATAGATCCAATATGTTTTGTTGATCAATTGGATGAAGAATAAGATAAAAATAGAGGAATTTTACAATGACTTTGACCTGAAAAATATGAAAGATGGAGTTGACATTTTCTGAGATGGAAAATATAAGATTGAGGAGAGGAATCTGGGATTTACAATTCTGAAATATTCACTTTGAGATGCTTTTTGGCATAACATTAAGAACATC